TTTTTTTTTCACTACTCAGTGCAACAACAATACTATTTGCCCATCATGTCCAAGAGTGTGAGTGTTGATTCAACATGCCGACGATAGTAATGCGGCTAAGCTTCGGATGAACGTCGATGTGGTGTCGGTCCGTCCGTCACCACACCGTAGCGAGACTGCCCTTCGCAGCCGAAGCGATGTTGAATCATCGCTAGCGCTCGGTGCTGCTTCACGTTCACGTTCTCCGCTCTGATTATTGTTCGTATGTGTATGCGGCGTTAGTCCTGAATTTCGCCTCTCACTCAATAATCGATTCTTATCAATTTCAAGTGATCGCGCGAGCCGTGTGCCCCGGCGCAACACACAAGGAGCTAGTGGAGTGAGAGAGAGCGATAGAGCTGCTTGCTGTGCTTACTGCCTCGGCTGCTCGTTGTCGTCGCGTTCGTCGCCCTGGTTTTTCCAGCCCCGGAGCAACCATCCCGTTTGTTTGATCTCTTGGAGAGCACAGAAGAAGAGGAGCGCCTCTCGTCTCTCGTCGGTTGAAAGTGCTGCTCCGCCCTTCAGTTGGCTGCCAGTTGCGCGACATTTCGAGAGGATCTCCGTCAATCTCTCTCCTCACATTTTACTGTCCTCTCATTGCTGTATTCTCTGATAGTCGCGTCTGCTTTCGCTGAATAGCTGAAAGAATCAAATCATGTCGAAAGTGAACAAGGAAGGCGCTCAGCAGACATCGCTGCTCGATGTCCTTAAAAAGAAAATGCGACAGGCCCGCGAAGAGGCTGAAGCGGCCAAGGACGAGGCTGATGAGGTACAGCGACAGCTTGAAGAGGAAAGGAAGAAACGCGAAGATGTAAGCTGTGTTAATTTTGTGTTTTTGTTCTATTCTCAAGTCTTTTTTGGATCGCCTAATTCACAATTTATCTTTAAAAAACTAGTTTATTCTTTTAATCTCAGCAAACTCCAATTTCCTCCTTCCTTTATCAAAAAAGCTTCTCACTTGCCTGATCTGCATAGATCCTGTGACCTGCTAGCATAAGCAGTTTCAAAACTATTGATATCCGCAAGTACACCATAGCATA